AGAAACAGGTTATTGTACAGGGGTCCAATACAAACAGGAACTACCTGGATTGTACTGTGGATATAGTGGATTGTGCTGCTTCTAATCTAGGGTTAAGAGCACAGATGAAGGCTAGTATTCTCTCACCTCACAAGGTGAACCTTTTAACATTGAATACATCAATTCAAAATCAATGAGGGAGAGGGGATGTATAGTATGGATAGCTTGGTTGTAGATATCTACCAGATTGATAGAGCTCTCAGTAATATTTTCACAAATACTCTTGGTTTCAGGGATTAGACAGGTGGGTGTCAGAAATGGATAACCAGAGAGCATTCTTTGTACAGAAGAACAAGTAATAAGTTTATTATTGATACGCAGCTACCCACCTGAACTTCTTTGTACAGAAGTTCAGTAGAAAAGTAAAAGTTAGCTCCCTCCATAGGTTACTGTAGCTCCAAAGGGAAGGAGCTCTGTTCTTATCAATGGGTGAAAGCAAATTAGCTCTTTTGGAGGGGATGCTGCTCTTTTAGAGGGGATGCTAACCCAGTTCATTGCTGGGTTAGGTGATATGGTTTCCATCAGTAGCCAAGAGCCTAGGGAGACATAGTAGTAGGAGTGATTATATTACTTTTACTGAAAGATTTAAGACTACAGGAGAGATCCCTGGTAGTAACCCCAGAAGGGGACAGGGTTGTTCAGGTTAGAACACTAGGAAAGACTGGTTACAAATCCTGGAGGGGATTTAAGATTCCCCAAGAGGGGGAATTGGTTAAATCTTGGTTATGATTACAAACTATGGAAGGAGTTTGGAAGAGAGGGTGTCCTAGTTGAAATTATGCTCCTGGTTAGGTAAAAGTTTCCTCTTGGATGTATATTTAAATGGGTTGAGTAAGGCAACACCTAGAGAGCTATCTCTGTGGAACAGGTCGGTTCTGAAGAAATAGATGTCTGAGAGGGGCAAAGGCTAGCTTGCCCCATGGTTTAACTCTGTTGGATATGTGCACCAGTAAAAATCCCAATGTGTAAAGGAGATTCAAATCTATAGGAAAAGATGTCTTAGAGTTTAAGCACTATGCATTTAAAGTAGTTAATGAGAGATAGAAGATGGGTGATTGAAATACGAATGCTACTACACTAGGGTATTGAGTAGAAAGTTTTAAAGCACTGAAGAATAAAACAGGTGACTTGTCTCTACCCTGGAAGGGGACACAGTTAGATTAAAGGATGTGGTTACAGACCCAGAGTGTGCTTGGGTAAAACAGGGCGAGTAGCAAAGGGAGGCTGAAAAAGGGAGAATTATCTTCAGTCAAAATTCTACTCCAGGGTAGTACTACTAGCAGAGTCAGCTGGCAACATCTCAGAGTTTTTAGTCTATGAGTTAAGGGATCCTGCAGTGAGTAAGTCCTTGTGGTAGCAAGGGAGCACTCTTTGGATTGGTAGTCAGACAGAAGCACTGATCTCAGCAGGTGGCAGAGTTTTCCTTCCAAGATGAAAACAAAGTTCTGATGTACTATATAATCTCAGAATAATAATAATAATAAAAATAATAATAATAATAAACTTTATTTTATATAGCGCCTTTAAAGGTGGCTTCTCAAAGCGCTTTACAGGATGACAATAACAATAAATAAGAAGACTACAACAATAAC